TGGAAAGACCACAACAGACTTCATCTTTCCAGGCAAAACTGCTGCTCCAGGCAGGTAAATAAGAAATATATCATGAACCATGACAAATAAAGATGGAATAAGTAACACAAAGATATGTAGCACCAGGGAACTGGAGCCATCTGTAACTAATTTTAGGGGACTTTTCTGTTTTGAAGTGTATACCTCAATGGCATGAGCTGAAGTTCTTGAATGTCTGTACCCAGAAAACCTAAGCAAGGCAAATAGATTTCAAGGAAAAAGTACCCTTTTCTGGCAGTTTGTTAAGCTTGCTGATGGCCCTAACAAAGGTTTATTGTTATTGTTAAGTGCTGTTAAGTATTGGTAAGTGACCCTCTGCACAGCAAAATCACCGCTCAACTTACAACTACAACTCTTTTGTTACCCAAGTTGAGTGGGAAAGTTGGGCATCCTGCTCCGACTAAGTCTGCCCAGACCTGGATGCATTGCCTGTTTGACTCTAAAGATCTCTTTGTGGATTGAGTGAATGAGGTGACTCTCCTCAATGAAGAAGTGACAATACTCACTAGGAAAGGTGTTTCTCAGGACCAAGGTGATTTATTCTATTAGGCACCTAAAGGAAGAAATACTCATTTCTTGGGTTGTTCTAGTTCTGCCTGTAAACTACATCTGGGTACACTGGCCATTGCTGTTTTCTCTATATAAATTAAGCCTGAGACTTTTGTATTCATTATTTTCCTACATAAATAGGTAAATGTCTCTTAGGCAGATATGAGAATTCAATGTCTATAGAAGTGAGAGCTTTATGGGGATACTTTTAGCAAGAAACTTTTCTCAAAGAACTTTATCACAAAGAATGCACTAGAAGGAAGCAGCAACTGCTTATTCTCCCTACCCTGGAAGGTAGGGTGGACAAAGGCAAGTGTCTTTCAACCTGTAATTAACTGTCACTAAACTGCTTTACTTTGGCCCTGTCCCACCACCACAGAATTCCTTCGCCGCACCTTAAGAGTTTCCAGAATCTCAGTTCTCCAACGTGGCTCCAAATCTGCAGAGTGCTTATTACATCATCTGCCTGGTCCTTCTTCCCAAGAATCAACACTAGAACTCCAAAGAAAAGGGAGGCTTAATGCCAAGAACCCACTTTCCAAACACTTACTCAGAGCTTTTTAGCCCTTGGCCTCTATGTTAGGGAAGCTACAACGTAGGGAACTTTGGTCTGGATGAACTGCACACATGAGCACCTCCAGGATTAATAATGGTTACAGAGGGTGGCCGAGGTTCAGGAAGCTTTTATTATAACCATCATTTTCTCATCTACCCTCACCCACCCTTATACCAAAACTAACCCACTGCTGACTCAGAGCGGCCTGACAGGACAGAATAGGACTGCCCCAAAGGGCAAACTGCCACATCATTCTCCTGCTGAACAGCTTGTGGATTCAAACCATAGACCAGGTGCTTTAATCACTGCACCACCAGGGCACCTATCCACACCCACACAAAACTCAAAAGCCAAACTCACTGCCATCTAGTCAATATCAACTCATAGGACAGAATCGTACAACTGCAAATTAGTAGCTGAGCTCTGTAACCACAGTACCAGCACACATTTGCGAATTACAGTGAAAGTAACAAGAGGAAAGGAAGGCAATGAAAACAAACAGAGGGCACAAACAAAGCTGTTAAGAATGGACGTGGCTTCAGCCTATATATGATTGGAATACTTAAAAGGGGTTCTAGAACTTGCCCAGTGAAATACGCCTCTTGCGGAGCCTTTGCAGTGTATAGAACCTTAGGTGGAATCCTGAGTCCCATCCAGAACCCTCTGAGGTGGGACATTCCCACTAAAAAGGACAAGCAGACCAGCCTGGAACAGCCAGAGCAACAGAAGATACTTCTTGAAAGAGAGATCAGCAGGGAAAATCCAAAACAAAAATGGCAGTATGACTGGCTACTACAAGAATAAGTAAGTTGTTCGCCGGGAAGCCATTAAGGCAAGCAATCAAGTCCCTTCAGGACAAACCCCCATCTAAGACTGAAATCAAAGGGAACACATGAGCAGGCATGTAAGCTTGCTGGTCTACTAGTGAGTGGAAGAAGAGGAAAGGCAGCAATGAAGAAATGGGCTGAGTTCAACCACATTCCATAGACTCCCACTGACTTGGAGATGAGTGAGAGAAGAGGAAGGGCTGCTTAGTCCACCATGTGGTGAGACCTGGGGACACCTGAGCCCATGACAAGGACATAGCCACAGAGGGCTAGAGCTGAGAGTGAAGCGTCCAGCTAATATGAATTGAGGGAGGCACACAAGAACACCCAGACTTGCAGATAGTACCCATTTGACCTAGCCTTGATGGCTTGATGATCAGAACTCGACTATAGGAAGGAAAAAAAAAAACAAAAAACAATTTTTGATAAAGGAAGCGACGATAAATTGCTACAATTTGATGAACATGACATATACTTATGGGTGTAGTAGCTCAAAATACCAACAGAGAAGTATCAATGCTATCCCCTCTGTATACAGGGTTGATAGGGATGGGCAACTTAGGCATTGGCTACCTAAAATGAGGGGGCAATAAAGGCACGAAGTGACTGGCTTACAAGATTTCAAGAGGGAGTTTAGTTCTTAGAGTGTGCGGGGGAAGATAGAGCCCCACTGAATAGTTTTCATCTTGTCTAGATGGGTGAAAAGAGGATAAGATTCTTATGATTCAACAGTGAGTAACTGTTACCATGACTGATTGAGACTATCCCAACTGTAAAGGTAGAAGTTTTCTAATAAAACAGGGGAGCAGCTAATCTTACAGTCCAGAAACAGAGGACCCTAGAACCATCAAGGGAGAAGAGCACAAGCGGAATGCGTGACCCTATCCACAGAAGCAGTGACACCAGAGATGGAGGCAGAGATGAGGACATGGAGAGAGGGAGCAGCTGAGGGCTCTAGATTCATGGAAAGAGAAAGACTGTGTGCTGGTGTCCAGGAGGAAGGCTTACAGAATGTGTCCTTTGGTGGTGAAAAATTATTATATATGCCTGAATGTTTAAAAAAAAAAGAGCTAAAATGAATACAGAGAAATACTGTTAACTGATGGTACATGGAGGGGATTATAATCATTGTAATGAAACAAGGTGTATGATTTGTTCAATGTAAAACTGATGATCTGCCCTATAAACTTTCACTCAATTCACACATACACACACACAAAAATCAATTTGTTGTCACCCAGTTCTAATTTGAAATCTCCTGTAAACACTCACTATTCTTTAGAATCTTTCTCTTCACTCTGATGAATATGAAGTTTCCTCTCTAATAAGGGGTCTGCCCAGGACAGTCCTAGTTGCTTATTAATAATTAGGCCAGGACCACAGTCACACCTTCTGTCTGGGTATAAATGTTAATAAGCACTCCTGGGTTGGACAATAATTATCCTGGTTTGAATAGTAAATTATATGGTCATCCTAACTCTAAATTATTTCTGTGATAAGCCATCAAGTGACACTGTAGTGACTGTATTGCTATTTAGGTTTCATTTTGACCATCTTCTCCAGTACTTTAAACAACCAAGTAGCCTCAGTTGAAGTCTTTGAGCCTGCAGACCCTGTAATGAAGGACAACTTGGCTCTTCCTTTGACAGCTTAGAGGGATCAACACGATGATTAATCGCCCTGGTATAGCTTGCCTCTTCACTCGTACTGATTCATGGAAGGATAGAATTGAAAAAGCCTTGAAGGCATTTTCAAATTTCAATTTTGGGGATTGTGGTGGTCCTAAGAGACCAGTAGAATCTTTCACCCCTGAAAATCTTGCTTAAAACAACATAAAATCAAGGAAAACAGAGCTTCTTGGATGGAATGGGGAAGTAAGAGCACAGATTTTCCTCTACCAGAAAACCCTTCAGAGACCTAGTGTAGTGAAGTACGATCAGCACTGGACTACGTACGAAATGCCGGGTTGGCAGTTCAAACCCACCAGCCACTCCTCAGAAACCCTATACAGGGTTTCAATGAGTCAAAACTGTCTTGATGGCAATTAGCAACAACTGTTCACCCTTGTCCCACAACAACATAAGCTGGCTCAAAAAAAACAAAAACAAAAACAAAAAAACCCCCATAGTGTTTCTAGTCTTATCCCTCTGATAAATGAGGAAACTGAGGCTCTTTGATAAGCTCCTGGTCATAGATTACAAATTCAATTCCTGTACTGGTAATCCTATCGTATAAATGACTGGATAGGCCACGTAGTGGTTATGAATCAGGCTGCAAACCGCAAGGTCAGCAATTTGAAACTACCAGCTGTTCCGCGGGAGAAAGATGAGGCCTTCTGCTCCTGTAAAGATTGACAGCCTCGGAAACCCTGTACAGGGTTGCTATGAGTCGGAACTGACTCCACGGCACGCAACAACAACAAGTGATCAGTTTCCATTAAGACTACAACCAAGAAAACCCTAGGGAGCAGTTCTACTCTGTAAACCACAGGGCTGTCATGAGTCAGAATCAACTCAACGGCAACAGGTCATCTGACAAACAAAGCCAGAAAGAAGGCAAGAGCATAACTGTCATGGAAAGCTTTGTCTTCTAAAGAGCTCTGAGTTCTTTAGGCATTAAATGCTTCTACAGACTGTAAGTAATATAGGCAAAGACTCAAATATAGGCAACTCAGAACAAACCAGTGAAGGGAAGCAGAACAGGAGCTGGAACCATTTCTAAAGTTAAGGTTCCAAAGTGACATGCATCCCGTCCCTAGGGACCTAAGGAAATCACGAGAAAAGGATAATAATGAAATATGAAGATGTTCACCACGATTTAGGGCTCTGACATGTGCATATAAAAAACGAAGCCTGGGAGAGAAAATGGGAAGTGAGGCAAGGGGGACAGGAGAGGAGAAAAGGGGAGGCCAGGAGAAGGGACAGGGAACAAAACTGCTCTTGGGTCCGTTAAATTTGAGTGATCTCTTTTTCAACCTTTCCCAAACTTCCTGTTAAAATGAAACAAAACAAACACACAAATATACTTACCGCACAGACTTTACTCACTACATCTCTTGCAACTGCTAAGCCTTGAGCAAAGGTACGGGCTGCTACAAAAGCTCGGGTAACCTGCAGCTTGAGTTTCCGAGGGACGTCTCCAAAAGGTTTCAGTTGCTCTGTATACTTGCTCACACATTCCAGATACTCATCAGTGAAGTGGTACTGGGAATTCACCAGGCGGAACATCCGCTCCAGAAGGCGAGCCCAGAAGTCATTGAGCATCTCTTCCAGGTTCACGTTCCCCACCACGTAGTAGCGCTTCAACTCGACAAAGAGATCCTTAAATAGCTCCGAATTTTGCATGTATAAGCGGCCGTATGTCTTCACAAACATGTCATTCAGGGATTTCTCAGCATTTTCAAGTAGTTCTTTGAAGAATTCTAAAATAAAATTTAAAAAAAAAGAAAGAGAGAGAAAAGAAAAGAAGGGTGGTTCAGTTATTAAATAAGAATTCCAAGAGAATTCAAAAAGGAAGAAAATTACGACGTTAAAATAACAAGTGTGTTTGTATATGCAGACAGGATGGATTTCTTTCAGGAAAAATGTGGATCATTTATTAGAGTCCCTAGATGGTGTAAATGGTTAACACACTTGACTAACCGGAAGGTTGAAGGTTTGAGTCCACCCAGAGGCACCTCGGAAGAAAGACTAGGCAATCTTCATTTATAGATAAATAAATCCGCCAAGGAAAACCCTATGGACACACTTGTACTCAGGCAGGGTTGCCATGAGTTGGAATCAATTCAACAGTAATTGTCTACTTTGGGTCATTTATGAATGAAAGGAAGCCTAGGCCACAAAGCAGCTTGTATGTGTGTCTGAGAGATAGGGAAACATTTTCAAACCAACAGTTTTTCAAGTGTCAGCACAAAACACACAGCACACACACATTCTCACTCTCTTCTTCAGCAAGAATCTACGCAAACATGGCTCATGAGCCTCCAGACCCCACATTATAAACTGACCTCAAGATAGGTGCTTTCAAACAATAGTGTTTTATGTGGCCAGAAATTTTGTTTTGCTTTCTATACCTTCTTTAGACAGCATAAGAGAAGACTATACACATGGACCTCACCAGATGGAACACATAGAAATCAAATAGACTACATCTGTGGAAAGAGAA